ACACTGAAAAAAAAAGTTCATTCATCCAAGTAGATCCAATCCGGGCAAGTTATTTATTTTTCATTGGCTCACGTTAAAAAATATAGATGTAAATCATTACCCTACATTTTTTTTAATTAGATGAATGAAACGTTTTTTTCAGTGTAGAGGAGCAACAATAATGTACATGTGGAAAATAATGTGTTTTTTTAACTTTAAACCGCATAAACACATTGCATTACACCAAATACACAGCATAATGTTCTTTTTAGCAACGTCATATGACCCCTTTAATGGTTACAGCCCCAATACAAACATACAATTCCTCTTTCATGTTTCAAAATATACATTCAATACAATAAAACAATCCGCACTTCCATTATATACATATGAATCAGAATCTCAAAAATGGAAAAATCATGTCTCTCACCTGTTGATTTGGACAGAAGTGGGTTTGTCTCCTCTTGTAGCTGCTTTTTTGGCCCTTCAGGCCCCTCCGGAGGTAAAATAGTCTCCGAGGACATGAGCCAGATGTTTAGATACTAAACACACCCAAAAACAACAATCCCCCACGCAATCAGCCCTCAAACCTGTAAGAAAACAACAAACTATGGTAATATCAATCGCCGATTCACTGCGTTACAGTAAACAAACTCAACTCCAATATCTTTCTTATGGAGTGAGTGACGTCATACGGCGAAATGTCGTTAAAGTTCGTGGAAAGTTTTGCTTAGGATTTTTTTCTCCACAAACGAAACTCAAAATGTCACAAACACACTCCTAAACATCCTAGCAACTTCTTAAGTCTATATTATTTGTTTGCCAAACATGTAACAAATCATTTCGAAGTCTGCTGGTTACCTTTCAAACATGTTAACTCCCAAACGCCTTTATTCGCATCCTTTCTTCAGGCAAAACGAAGTCCCGTTAGAAAATGTTTCCTTAATAGTCAGTTTAGGATCAAAACTCTGTAAAAACTATCAGATTCCTCACAAAAATAGTACAAAAATCCCTGTCAAGCAGACGCTGAATAATGAGTTTGTGCGCGAGACTCCCGCGCGCTCGAGCTGCTGCTGGTGGAGAAACTTTGAGCTCAAACATTTTCATCACATCCGGATTCCGATGATCACAACCAGCTGCATTCAGAAGTTCGAGAACTGAGACTGTTTGTTAAATGATTTCGTCTGTCTTACAGACACGCAGGTTTGTTTACCTAGAGATCTGAAGGAGGACTTCACATTGACTTGAGTTGTTCCCACCATACCTGACTAAAAAATGTTGCCTACTTGTGAGCCTGATGCCTCTAAAAAGTTGTTGAAGTATTTATAAATAATCATTCAGACTTTTTGATTTCATGAGAACATTTTTACTTTTCTATTTAAATTATTACCAGCCTTGACAATTGCAAATAAATAAATAAACAAACAAATTAGGCTACTTATTAATATAAATATAAATATTAACACTGTCTCTTTAATAACCCTATATAATATACACTATCTATCTATCTACCTATCTATCTATCTATCTATCTATCTATCTCTGCAACTGGCTAAGCAAGGCAGTTAACCAGGGGTTAAGAGTTAGGAGTTTTCCATAATGGTGAGAACAGATTTCTATTGCGATTACATCAGTGCTAACTCAGTGTCTTTAAAACCTTTAAATTCTCAGCTGTCTTAAATCTGCACGCATACATACACAAAGAGCCCTCAACTGATTCAGTCCATTCTCGTGATGGCCTTGCTGGTGGATAAAGCATATGAGCATGGAAGTGATTGATGTGATATATGCCCTCTTCATTGACTGGGTGAACTCCATTTTCTGCTCCTAATACAGAAATCACTCCAGGTCTGTGGCATAATGATTTACGATGAATCTGTGTCAATGTTGAACTCACAAACCCCACCTAATCCATCTTGCAGAGACCCTCCTCGTTGCGGAGAAATGCTGCATTCTCCATTTATAAGTGTTGAATCTATTACCCCACTGATTGGTAATAACTTTCGGCCTTTGCGCCCCCTTAGACAGTAATTACTCAGATACTGATGCTCTTTGAGACCCGGCACCAAAGGTAAAGCTCAGCATCAGCAGGGCTTAGCTGACCCACCTTGCTTTCAAAGTTATCACTTTCAAAGTTACAAGTATATTTAAGGAATAGTTCACCAGAAAATGAAAATTCCATATCATTGCTTTGTGTGAGAAACAGATGAAAATTAAATCATTATTCCCTAACATTCTTCCCCAAATCAAAGTGATATGAACTACTTTTATGTATTGAAAAGAGCATGTTTCTGACATGAGTGTGAGTAAATAATGACAGAAATTTCTTTTTTGGGTCAATTATTGCTTTAATAAGTAGGGAAAAAAACTCTAGTGCCAAATTTTCAGTGTAAAAGTGGCACAGAATTGCTTCTGAAGTGGCATCTTAGAGTCTCTACAAAGAGAAGAGGTAGCATAAATGCATTTACACAATAATTACAGCTATATAGTTTCATACTAGGGTCTAAGATGGGTCAGAGCAGGCATAATTAAGTCTGGCTTTTATATGGCATTATGTCTTTACACTGAATTTTGAGCATGCACAGCAACCTTAACTTGGCTGTGTAAAGATGCCTTTCCTAAACGCCAAAATCATACATTCCCATTTTAATATTTCATTGTGTTTCCGTTCACACGAGACAGCAGTTCTATGATTTCCTGTGTATTCCGCAGTGACACCACCGACAAACATTTATCTTGTGTTAAATCATGCGCTTCTGAGCCCGAATAAGGAACTGAAGTCACAGAGAGTGCGTGAAGCCGTCATGTTGTGTCACTGTTGTGTCAGAAAAGCATCTGTCAGAGTCGCATTTCAGAGGAAAGGGGAAACGTCTCTATTGACTTCATCTGTTTGTGTGGCAGCATGCCTGATTGCTGAAACGCTGCCAAATCACCCTGGGTAATCCCACTCGACGGAGTCCCTCCGAACACTAGGGTTCACAGTGCATGCATGCAGGAAAACCGCCTGTCACCACAACAACATCGCTGACAAAAAGCCACCTACCGTGATTTAGTAAATATTTGAGCTAAAGCAGCAAGAGTGGATGCATACATGGCAACACAGGAACAATCGGCGAAGAAAAAACAAACCAGAATCGAAAATGTGAGCATTTTTTTGGAAGCCACACTGACCCAATAGCCACTTAAAATTGTTCTTTGAGCGACTCTCACACTGCTGAGTAATTAGCATATGAATAACAGAAAACGCAAAGATCCTACGAGTACAAGAAGTGATATGCACACGCTTAGAGATCCGCCTACTGCAGTAGCTGCGCTGTTTTGTGCGAGCTTGATGTAAAGAACCCACTTTGAAGTTGGCGATTTCCTCAACTTCTAGATTGGCTTTCCTGAGAAAACTGTGCCACTCAATTATACCTGTTATTCATCAAGGAGAACAAATTGCTCTAAGCAGGCAGGCAGGCAGGGAGGGTTACCTGTAGCTAACAAAAAGGCGCAGGAGGCCCCTTGTGGAGCGCCGCGACTCGGCTCTCTGTGTTCTTACCATTTGGTTTTTGTTATGGAATTAAAATTTCACACCAAATGGGTAGAAGGAAATGTGGTGGAATAGGAAACCTGTAATTAGCACTAATGAGCTTATTCTTGGGCTCTGTGATTGGAATACAAATGTGAGACTTACCGATTCTTTTCCCATCTCGACTTTAATGGCCAGCAAAAGAAATGTGTCACTTTGAACCAAGGCGCAGGCACAATGCACATCAGTAACTGATCAAATCTTCAAAGAAACCTCGCAGAAGTCTCAGCTGAATGAAAAGAAGTTAATAAGTCCTGCTTTGAAGCCAACAGAAAGCCCCCCTACTTTTCAAGCGGACCATGAAAACTGGACGAACCCTGGCGACCTGGATGATTAATGGCGTTAGGGTTATTTTTGACCATTTTTTTTCATATTCGTACTCTTTAGGTCACTCTCTGATCAACACGCTAACGGCGCTTGTCGTCCATTTTATCAGTAGGGAACTGTTGTTTCAGTCTTGCTAGGTCAAGGGACATTATAAGGGCAGCACTGAGATGGCACGGATAAATAAACTCATTAAAACAATAGGCCTCGTGATTAACGATGTGTAATTGCTTTGATAGAAACGAAAACAAACATCATTTATAGCACGGCGAGAGAGAGAGAGTCAGAGGCCGAGAACAGTGGGGTGGCTTGTATACGCTAAATGCACATCTGGAAGGAACTGTTCAACCACTAAAATATGCAGGTATAATCAGTAGCAAACGTCTGCACCGGCATGTTTTACGTTCATAAATATGTATCTCTCAAATAAAAGGAATTTTGTTTGCTCTAGGCCTGCAAGTTGTTAGGTACTGTAACTAATAACATACTTTAAAGTAAAAGGCCATCGCCCAGTGTCTGCTGCGAAGTGCAGACAGCAGGCCGGAGCGTGCAGTCGCGCAGACTTACACGTGAACAGCTGCAAAATCACTTGTGATCAAAGTACTGAGCCATATGCAGCCAATCCGACCTGGTTGACATTTCACTAACGACTTAAAATATATGTCAAATTATCCAGTCTGTCGCAATACCCCAGATCTGCTTTTAAGGATGTGGGTGTTCATGTATATTGAAAGAGAGATCTTGGAAAAGAACATAGAGTGGAGAAAACTGCTTTCTGAAAAGTCAACAAGATATCAAAAACCATACTATTAACTTTCTTATTGCACATTTCTGGTCTTACCTTTCCAGATTTATCAGTACACATTATCCCATTTAACATTTGGCAGATACGTTTTTCCAAAGCATGCTTTTTTTTTTTGCATGCAAGTCATTCATTTTAGCAAGTTCATGCATTCCCTGGGAATCGAACCCATGACCTTGGTGGTAATAGTATAATGTGCTATTGCCTGAGCTACAGGACCCCTACTTCAATAAAAAACAAAAAACAAATACACCTCACACATGACACTGCATTCTAAAAAATTGGTGCCCAAAATAAGTTCAACTTTTAAAAACACATCTCTAGAGTAGACCATCCTTTGTTTTTCATTCCACTTTTTTTGCATTCTTGCAGATCAATAAACAAAAAAATTGCAACTGGCAACACACAGTATGTGGGGTTTCATTTATGAATGAATCATGTTTTGAATGAATTGATTGAGTAACTAATTCAATGACTCCCTCATAAAGGGTCACTTGTTTTGATTGATTGATTCAAATGACTCACACATAAAGAAAGCCACTTGTCAACAACTGGCATAACAATGTAACCTGTTAAAAGCATAATCAGGTTCAAGGACAAGAACTAACTGGTGTGTAATTAATAATATTCATACAGTTGCATTGAAGTGCAATATGACAAATTTTACCCACATATGAATTCAAAATTGTGTAGCTAGAAACATTTAACGTAATTGCTTAGAGCATGTTTCTGGCCTCTCAGAATGCCTTACGTTTCCTATCAGTTTGTGGATTCCCTGGGAATCAAACCCATGACATTACCATTGCTAGTGCAATATGCTACTGGAAATGCTAATGCAAATGCCTCAAATGTGTTCTCTACTAATATCTCTGTACATTATTATCATAATCTATAAGGAACTTGTTTATTAATGTGATAATATTGTCATTCTAATCTCAGTTGTTTATTATGACTCACAGATGTGGACTTAAAATAAACATTAGTAGGTAACAAGGGTCACGCTCAGGCAGGGGGTGGGCGGCATTTTTTTCCAGGCATATGTGACGTCCCATATTCACACTGTCCTGCAGTAAGCCACCTCACGCTGAGCATACATACCCCTGAGTCCTGTTAACCCACCCCCGGCTACCCGTGGATCAGTTGGGACACACACACGCACTCCGGCAAGAAGCCTCCATGCATTATTGAAATACGGGAAAGAACACTAGCATTTCCACCCACTCTGATTAATTTAATGCTCTCTCTAAGTCCAAGATTAGGCTCTGGCATAGGTCGTAATTAAATACTGAAAATACGAAAGTGCAGGAATATTCAATTCTTTTTAAAGAAATCAGAGTTTTAATTTACCTCATGCGGTGGCGGCCTCGGTCACCTGCAGAGAGAGAATCCACACCGCATCACCAGATGCATGAAGCCTGGCTTGGCAAGGCCATGCCTTTAAATTGAGCCCCCCGTTCCAATTTATAGAACGGGAGTC